TTCAAATCGGAAAGAGGAATTAAACAAGGAGATCCTCTTTCACCGTCTCTTTTCATCATAGGGGCAGACCTTTTGAACAAATTCATGGAGAAACTGAATAATGAAAGCTTCATTCCTTATTCAATCGATAGAGGATGTCTACTTATCACTAATCTCAGCTATGTAGATGATACATTCTTTTCTCCTCTGGTGATCCTCTTTCTCTTCTTGCTATGATGGATAAGTTGTCCGTCTATGAGAAGTGTTCGGGCCAACTAATAGACAAAAGCAGGTCTTTTTTTTTTGGTAGGACCTAATACCCCTCAGGCAGTTATTGAGGATATCAAAAAACTTACTGGCTTTTCTCAATCTGAATTTCCATTCACTTATCTTGGTTGTCCCATTTATTTTGGGAGGAAGAAAGTCAAGTATTTTGACAAATTTGTGTCTAAAATCTCAGCTAGAATGCAAAGGTGGTAGGGCAAAATGATCTCTTTTGCTGGTAGAGCAATTATGATTGAGACAGTTCTTCACTCAATGCTACTACACATTTTATCTGTGATACAGTTTCCGAAAACCACTATATCACAAATAGAAAAATTAATGGCTAACTTGTAGAAATTGGAAATGCACTTAGTGGGGTGGAGCTTTAGAACTAACGATACTTTGTGGAGGAATTTCTTAGTAGCTAAATATTGTCCTAGAGCTCATCCAGTTAAAAAGAAATGGCTTGATGGACAATCACACATTTGGAAAAGAAGTGAGGAAAGAATGTGAGAAACTCATAGTTTGGAAAGTGGTTAATGGAAAGTTTTCATTCTGGTGGGACAATTGGGTTGGCATTGGCAATTGGGATAAGCATGGTTTCTTCACTTGCAAGTCAGCCTGGAATTCATTAAGAAAGACCAAGGGAACTACTCTCTCTGCATCAGAAATATGGCACCACAAGCTTCCTTTTGAAGTGTCATTTTTCATGCGTAGGCTTCATAATAGCATGAAGCTTTGCAAAGATTTAATGTCACTAGACCTTCTAATTGCTGTAGCAACAATAACTACGCAACAGACGACATTAATCATCTTTTCAAAAATGGAGAACTAGCTAGCTACTGAAGTTTGGAATTTTGGAGTAATTTAGAGGCATAAAAAACACTCTTATGCACTGGTGGTTGATCAAACCTGCATATAAAGTATACTCCTTTATTCTGCAATGCTTGCCATCTGTGATTTGCTGGGAGCTATAGAAAGCAAGGTACAACTATAAGTATGATGGGGTAAAAAGCAACTCTTTCAGAGTTATCACTCAAGTTATTAGATGCTTAAAACATCTATATTTCCTCCTCTTAATCTAGATGGACAATGGCATAATACTTGTGAACAAATTGAGAAACTTAAGCCTAGCTTACAAATACAATGCATCAAATGGGATAAGCCTGTTAGATTTAAGTTAAACACTGATGGATGCAGTAAAGGAAATCCAGGAAGTGCATGTGGAGGTGGCATATTGAGGGATGGATGATACGGGAAATCTGGTTATGGCATATGTAGAGTTCTATGGCAAATGATCTAATAATATGGCAGAAGCAAAAGCAATTCTAAAAGAAGTTCAATGGTGTATGGGTAATGGGTATACTGAAGTTATGGTAGAATCTGATTCTATGATAATAATTGGAATGATCAATGGATCAATGACAGCTTACTGGCAAGTCAAGCATAATATCAAGAGAATTAATGAACTTAAAATGCAAGGGAACTTCTCTTTTCGACATTAGTGAACGTTGATAACTGATTATTTAGCTAACCTCGGGTAAAATACAAATCGTAATCTCTTCTTCACACAGGATTTAACTCTTCCTTTAAGAGTTAAAAACTATATGAAGAATGACATTGAAGGATTACCATGCTTCAGGATTAGAGCACAAAGGAAGAACTTCACTTTTGATTATGATTAAATTCATTTTGTTGGTTGTCCAGGTTTTAACCTCCTTTTTGCAAGCTAACCAAGTTCAAATTGTAAAGGAGGAGTCATCCACTTTTAATTTTCAACACAAATATTTTATTTCACCATCTAGGGGCATACTTTGTACAAGGATGAAATTCACATCTTACATGTAACACAAGGGGGTTTAGACAAATATCCACCCATTTTCCTTGTAATTGTATAACTATTAGAGTAATGAACGTGTTGGATTTTGCATTTGTTACTGCTGATATTTGATTTACCAGAATAATAAGTACTTTAGTCGTACGAGGATTCTTTGTTTAAATTTAAATTTAATAGGATAAGTTTGTTGAGATAGTTTAGGTTTTTGAATTCGAATATTTATTCTCCAAATTTTCTGCAGATTCTGTTTTTCAATTGGCTATTTAAAGCCTTGTTATGCTTAATAAAATTATTGAGAGATATTTTCAATCAATATTCTTAATATTTTTGCTGCCCCATCTTTTAAAAACTCAACAGTGGTATGAGAGCTTGATTGGTCATACGGGATCTGTGAGTTCTTCCAAAGAACTATTTTCAAATCATTTTTAACCAATATCAAGTTTTAAACCCATTTTAAACATGGCAAGCAACAGTCTCTCTTTGAATGACCCACAAACTTTCACTGGTGAAAAGTATCAAATTTAGTCAGTGAAGATGAAATCTTATTTTTGAAGCTTTTGAAAAATCAAAGAAAGTTGTGATCTTTGCAACAAATAAACACAATGAAAAAATAGAATGCAAGATTGAAATTGTTGAGCATTTTACATGTTAATTTTGAACCTACTGTTGCTGCTATATATTACATATCTTTGAAAGGCATGAATTTTTCTTCTGAAAAAATTCTACACCGCCAAGCCAAGATCTGGAGAAAAATCAACATTGGTTACCAAGTTGAGATCTTTCGACTTGATCCTTATGTGATAAAAATTTTGAGATTGTTTTTTATGCGCAAAACCAAAAAGAACAAGTCTTACATATGAATGCAAGTTCAAAAACACTTGAAAGAATGCACAAGCATAAATTGTTAAAGTAGAATTTGAGGAGGATCAACCCAATGCAGCAACAAAGGCAAGAAGGAGTGTTGGAGTTTGCATTTGTTACTGTTGATATTTGATTTATCAGAATAATAAGTAGTTTAGTCTTAGGAGGAGTCTTTGTTTAAATTTAAATTTAATGGGATAAGTTAGTTGAGATAGTTTAGGTTTTTTAATTTGAATGTTTATTCTCCAAATTTTCCGCAGATTTTGTTTTTAAATTGGCTATTTAAAGCCTTTTTATGCTTAATAAAATTATTGAAAGACATTTTCAATCAATACTTTTAATATTTTTGCTGCCCCATCTTTTTAAAAAACCAACAGAACGGGTTGGGGTCTATCTAAACCCCCCATCAATCCGATGGGGTTAATGTCACACCTCCTTTTTTTCCACCCCGAGGGGGAGTATAAAGGTGTTTTTCCAATTTAAGTGACATTATTCGAAATGTGATTATTTATTTATTTTTTCAGAGTCGCCACTTGGAATAGTTATTTAGTGTCCCAAGTCACCGGTTTATTTTAAAATCCCAAATCGGGAAAATTTGACTTTACTTAAAGTCTCCGAACCAGAAATTCTAGATAAGGAATTCTGTTAACCCGGGAGAAGGTTGTTAGGCATTCCCGGGTTCCGTGGTTCTAGCACGGTCGCTTAAACTATTAAAATTGGCCTATTATCCGATTTATTACATGTTTTAACCTATTGTGCATCTTTAGCTTTATTACCCTTTTAATTATTTTAATCGCTTTTTAGGATTATGGAATTATTTCTTGAACAAGTTACGATTGTCGTACACTTGCCGTTTTAGAACACGCCCACGCTACATGAAATGCACCCACGATCCGCGACATGTTTAAGTTTATTAATGTTCAATGTTGTTATAATCAGGTAACATGAAATGCACCCCCCGAATTTGGGAATTAGGTATCACAGCTACGTCGCGGGAATCGTACCCGTAGCTATGATGATTTTATTATAAACGCGCCTAAAGCAACTACGAAGGTTCAATTTTAATAGCAACGTTTGTGAGGGCCATGGATTATTTAATTTCTTTATGGCACACCTCAAACCTTTTCTATAAGGATTAGTCTCTTAATCTAATTTATGAGGGCCATGAATTATAGGTTTTAAGCATGGCACACCTCAAATTATTTTAAGAAAAGGTTTTATATATATATATATATATATATATATATATATATATATATATATATATATATATCTTAAAGGCAAGCTAAAGGTGCTCCTATTTTTATCTAATTTAAAATTAGGTATCACAACCACGTCACGGGAACCGTATTGCGTGCCTAAAAGCAAACTACGGTTATTCAAAGCATCTTCTATACTAGTTGGTATTAGTATGAGGGCCATGAATTATGGGGTTTGATTACAAATGGCTCACCTCAATTCATTTTAAAAGATTGTACTCGATTGCTTAATAAATCATTGGTACAAAAAAAACACTCAACAAATTCACGCCCAAAGGCAGATTATTCAAGTTCACGAAAATTCAAATATTAGTCTGCAAACCCAGATTATATGCGAGGGTCCAAATTGTGAGATTAATAATGAGACTAATAGTGGGTGGACGCTTTTTTTTGAACATTAAGAGAGCATCACAAATGGTCATACTCAAATTAATTAATTAGAACTCAAAGAAACTGACCATTATCAACTTTGAACCCAAGTATGCGAACTAAGTTGATAGTCACTACAACAAAAAAGGCATTTGGCGGCAATTATTTAGCGGCAATAAGGCAATTGTCGCCAATAAATTCTTTAAGCTGAAATATTAGCGGCACATGACCACTAGCCAGTAAAAGATATCCTTTTACCGACAATAAAAATAAATTGCCACTAAAAAAATTACTAATTTAAATTAATTTTATTATTTTTACGTTCCCTCCTAATAAAATAAATAAATATTTCCCTCCAATTATTTTGGACAAGAATTAACTATTCCCTCCAATAATTATAATTATCTAAAGCGGTTGCTTATATGCCGTTTCCGAAACGTACTCCTCTCAATTTTCACATATCGTGCGTATGCTTTTAATATTCGAAGAGAACACGAAGGTTGGGGACAAAGAAGATTCAAGTTAGCATAAGGAAAAATAATGACTCATATCACACTTCTCTGTGGTCAGATTGTGAAGTTTGTTTTTATTTGTTGATCTTTTGAATCGAAAAACCTAATCCATGGGTTCAGCCAGTCCAAGCACGAGGAGGTAGTTCTTTTTTTGAAGTTCAGTCCTTTTTTTTTTAGATGCTAACTTATTTTTTAAGGCAATTTATATTGGGAATTGTAATGGGTTCACTTGAAACAGGGTTTGGGGATTCTATTAGAACTTGAAAATGAAAATTTGGGGCTTTTTCCTTTTCTCATATTGAATCTCTGTCATTCTTGCAGGTGGTTGTCTTGAGTATGTTTCTTGATGCTTTAGTAACTATGACTCAGGAAATTGACCTCCGAATTCAAATGTCCTCAATGATATCTCTCTGTCTTTTTGACTACGTCTAGGTAACTTTTTCTTGAGGGTTTTTTTCGGGTTATTATCTCCATATTTTCTTTTAATTTTAATTTTTTGATTTTTGCAATTCCATACGGAGTCTTTAATCAGGTAATTAGGTAACTATGCCTATTCATATGAAAAGGTGAAGGAAATAATAGTCTTTGCCATGCTCTTTATGTGTTGGACAATATGATACGGTCCAAAGATGGAAGAATATGAATACGGTCATCACTGACAAAGTGCAAATAATAGGTATATGAAATATGGCAAACAAATTTCATAAAAATATCATTGGGTAACAGAGGTTATAGTCATTACTTTCAAGTTCTATTGGAATAAAAAATCCACATAACTCTTGGAGTTCATATTTACTGTAAACCTGACATTTAAGTCACGGTATAAGAACTATTTTTAGGAGAATTATATTGAATATTTATTGTAAAATGTTAAAAGATTTCACTTTTGGATAACTCAGCGTGAACATAATATATGTACCTTCAAATGACTTAAAAATCGAGTTAAAACTTTGAAACTAACAACGCTAATTCAACGGTAGTATGCATCTCCAATATCAATTCCATGATACCTGACTAAAAAAACGGTAGTATGCATCTCCAATTTTCAGTTAAATGTAAGTTTTATTAGTCTCAAAGCAACAAGTTATGTGAATGTTGCCACAGGGGCGGATCTACGTAGTCCGTGCCGGGTGCTGAAGCACCCATTGACTCCGGTGTGAACTATGTACAGTTATAAAGAAAAGATAAGGAAAATAATATAATAATAAATTTGTAAGCACCCTCGAAACAAAAGGGCTCATGGGTGCTTTGGTTCAAAGCTGAAGTTAAGAGCGTGCACGAGTTCGATTTCGAATTGAGATAGCATTTCGCTAATTCTGTCTTTTCAATGCTCTGACTTTGACCTTTTCTTTTTTTACTTTTCCTATTTCCTTTAGGCTTTATCTCATTCAGGATAAAGTTAACTTCTACTAGATACCAAATGACCAAACTCTTCTCCACTTCTTGGATTTTCGGCTCTCACATAAATAAAGAAAATACACCTTCCAGCGAAAAGAAAAAAGAAAGCTAACAATCTCTTATGCTTCAAAATAATTTCAAAATCAAAACGTAAGGAACAAGGTAATAAGATTATGTTTTAATTAAAGCTAGATACTGAAAACATTTAGTAGAGGGATGTGCATTTTTTTTTCCCATGCTTATTGTTTATGCTTTGTACAAAGTTCATTGCGACTTTTATGATTAGAAGTTTGTTTTGGTAGTGATAATATTAACAGGTGTTTTCTCACTAACTTTTTACACTGTCGCATTAGAATAGTCGTGCATTTATACTATATAATTGGTAGCAAATTTATGTTAAAGGAAATGATCACCCACGACCTTAAAATCCTGGATCCGCCACTATTGCCACTTTCTCTGCTCCACTATCAAAAGACCTTTGAGTTCTATTTGTTTGTGGTCAGCACTTATCAAAACTTAGAAAACTAGAGCAAAAAAGTTTCTGAAGGTCAGTAGCGTCATCTCTCTTTGGGATGCTGTAGTATTCGTTCATTGACTTGAATCATATGTTTGTAAAATAGCTTAGAGAAAATACATATGTATATATACTAAGATGACACTCACTGTAACTGGTGTAGTATACTCTATATTTCCACAATATCAATTAATTTGATTCAGAAAAGAAACGAATGTATATGCATGTGCATGTGCATATTTATTGTGAACTTCATCGTATTATGTTACATGGAGAGTTGAAGGTGCGACTTATTTATATTTGCATTGTCATAAATATTCTGAAGTTTGTTGTTGTCAAGTTAATTTCCTTGGTCATTGAATTTGGTCTTTAGAAAACTCAAAGCCTAATCCATTGGAATTTTTCAATCTAAGCATGAAGAGGAAAATAGGGTCTTCATTGTGCACTTGATAAGTTAATTAGTACATCTTGTGATGATTTGTTTTTAGTAAAGACTGTTTGCCACCCGATGGAGTTTTGATTCTTGATAATATGCATTGGATAAACGTTGAGTACATTAAGCATAATGACTAGATGTGCTTTAGAATATATTTTTTATATTTCTTTCTCCATTTCTGTGTTATAAGATTTGATTGCCCCCTTAATATATGCACGATAAACTGGACAGAATGTTTGATCAACTTACTGTTGAGTTGTTGTTGAGAGAAATATTTGACCGACTTACTGTTACATTGTTATTAAAGGAATATATGCGTTAATTGCATCTATGATGATTATAAAATAATTATTATTATGATACTAGTGATGATATGGCACCTCTTTTCGACTAAGAAATCTATTTATCTTTTTTCTTCGTTTTTGTTTTTGTTTTTCCTTTTTCACATTAAATTGTTTAGCCTATTTAATGACTTAAAGCCCCATGTTCCAGCAACCGTACAGCTCCTATCCGACCTTACCAATTCTCATTTTTAGTTTTTTAATCATTGAATTGAACTGAATGATGGAACAAAAATAAGATAACCTGGATATCTTGAATCTATTCTATTAGACAACTGACCTTTTACTTCTTTCTCATGTTTTAGTGGGAGGTCTGATGGAAAATGTAGTTTTTTTGTTAGTAGTGGCTAATAGAATTTTCTAATGACTAACGGCTATTCAGGAGAAGCGTGGAAAAGAGATTGTTTTGAAAGCAATGGGTCAGGCAATAAGCAAGACTTTGGCTATCGCAGAGATCATTAAGGTAGCTTGCCTGCTTTGTTTTTTCTTCCAGTGCACTTTCTGTATTGCCATATTCAGATGTAACTCAATGTTTTATTCTCTTTCAGAGAAGAATTCCTCGTCTGCATCAAGACACTGCTATCAGCTCAGTAAGCATCACTGATGTATGGGAACCTATTGAAGAGGGCCTTTTGCCGTAAGTTTCAAGTCTTGCTAGCTTTCTCTAAATTCATTTGTTTTTCAGCCCATGTTGGTGTAAGGTGTGTAACTGCCTATCATGTGGGATAATACTAAGATTTACCTTCTATTCTCCAATTAAGTGCAAATTGCATAGTTGTGGTTCTGATTCTTGAATGTTGGTTTTCTTTGTAAAAAGTGGAGCAGATTGGCAAGGTTCAGAAGGAATTCCATGTTGCACATTAATAACTTCTAACATCCTTTTCTTCTTATTAGCCCTTTTTCTAGCTCTAGCACTTTGATAGGAGTTGTTGGAGTAAAAAGATGAGTTATCTGGAGAGATGTGGAATTCTGATTCATATGTCGATCACATTACTACTTGTACTTGTCCCTTTCTTGTTTTTTGTCAGTTTCTGGATCATCTCAGAATCCCTCTCATAGTTGGTAATTAGTTGTAAATCATTGTTCTGCTTCTCCTCGACCATGTGAACCTGTTCCGTTCTAACCAATAGTTCTTCTCCCCTATTCATCATCTGGAAGATGCTAGGGAATTCTGGATCCTGGAGATTCTTTTCTTTCTCAGCTTCTATTACAGAATCAGCCCTTCCATTTTCCTTATTCTCGCTCATTGTATTATTTGTCTCAGCTGCAATTGTTATAGGTTGTCTCTGATTTTCAGGAAATTGTTCTGTTCTAGCTAGTAACTCATCTCCCATGTTCATCACCTGGAGATTTTCCTTCACAACTTCTGTTATAGTATTAGTTCCTCCGTTATCCTTGTTCTCCCCCACATTGTTAGTTGTCTCAGCTGTTCTTGTAGTAGGTTGTCTCTGTGGTTCAGGAACTTGATTGATTGGTATATAGATTTGTTTGGTCACTTTTTCTTTGTTTTGTGCTTTGGCATTGATCTGCATATGAGCTATTGTTGTACTACTTTCTCCTCGGGCACTTTCTTTCCCTTTGGTAGTAATCTTCTTTGGTTGTTGGTGGTTCACCATTATGTTAGGTGAGGTAGTTGGCTACTCTAATTTTAGTGATGGAATGTTCAAGATATCTTTTTCACATTATACTTTATCTTTTGACATAATTATTTATAATTTCAGGTCATACCGTCTGATGTTGGATAATTTAGCGGGTGAAAGATATTAAAATCATGAAAAGTTGCAGAAATCATTATGGCGATTTTAATTGTGGCTAAATTATTTTGTACGAATGTAGTAACTATTATTAATTCTGTACGAATGTAGTAACTATTATTAATTGTGGCTAAATAATTTATAGTTGATGTAAAAAGATTATCGTTAAAGATATTGACGTTTAGCGGCAATTTAGTTAAACATATTAGCCGTGCCATTAGAATGGAAGCTAAAAGGGCAAACTAAGATGTTTTCAGAAGGGATATTATGGTGATTTTAATTGCCACAAAATAATTGCCATTAAAGATGCAAATTTTTAGTGACAATTATTTTTAATTTAGCGGATGCTAAAGAAGTATAATTAGCCGTTTATATTGGAATTAGTAGCCATTATAATTGTCACAAACAATTGCCCTTAAAGATGTGATTTTTAGCGGCAATTATTTTGAATGTAGCGGCTATAATAATGGACGCTAAAGAAGTATAATTAGTTAATTAGTCATTTTGGATTGAATTTAGTAGCCATTATAATTGCCACAAATAATTGCCGTTAAAGATAATAACTTTTAGGGGCAATAAAAATACCGTTTACCAGCTTTTGCGAGAACAGCCGCTAAAGGCTTTGCCGACTCCAGTTTCAGCGGCAAAAGACCAATGGCCGGTAAAAGATATAGCGGCTATTATTATTGCCGCTAAAGCCATTTTGTATTGCCGCTAAAGGTCTTATTTGTAGTAGTGAGTGAAACAATGCTCTAACTTTACTGCTTAGCATATATGAATGTGAAACAAACGTGATACATAAAATTTAATTTGGCCCATTGAGATTCACATTGTAAATAATGACATCCTGCTTCATACAAATCAGTAGTCCTACATAGGACTCATAATCTGTACATCAAGTGAAAGAAAATAATTATAATAGCATTACAATGTACTATTAAGTAAAATAAATGATTCCTAATTAGAGCCTAGTGAATACATATCCTATATGAGGCCATTTAACTTTTGAATCTCCAAGGATGCTTCTGGACACTATTTTTGGGCCTCCATGTTTACAGACATGGCCAATTATGGTCAGATCTGCAAACTACAGCCAGGTAAGCAGTAGCAAACACATTTCAACTCCTAAAATTAAAACAAAGCTACATATTTCATATACAAACCACCATAAGAAAGCTTCTGTGAGTACAACCTTAATTTATATTTAACAAGAGATATGAAATTGATGAACTTCTAACAACTAAAGCTTATAACAACATTCAGAGACAACAGGGAGACAAATTTATCATTTTTTCCGCAACATTTCTGATACGGAATCAGCATCCAAACAAAATGAAACTTACAACAATGGACCAACTATATGAATGACAACAAATGGGACCGTTAACTCAGTTATCATACACATGAAATAGACTTCAAAGATCAAAGAAGGAAATCCAAGTGATTTGCATAGTTGAGATGACAGATTCATAAGGTTAGGCTCGAATATTTAAAGAAAACAAGATTTCATTCAAGGAAAACTCAGCAGAAGCATACAAGAGGATCAGCAAAAATACCTAGCAAAAGGAAACAACAGCCAAAAGAAATCCAAGAAAATCTGCAACTCTTAGCTCGAGCTCAACAGTAACAGCAGTGAATCCAAAATCAGAATTTTTTTCAGCTTCAGAAGAAAACCAGCAAATGACTCCAAAAAATAGCAAGGAACTCGAAAATTTTCTTCAGAATTTTTTTTTAAAAGAGCTGATTTCAGCCGTTTGTGTTTTTTTCACCCTTTTTTCCTGTGCCCTAATGATTGGAAAGAGGGTCTTTTATAGGAGAATTTTAGGGCAACAACATCAGATTTTCTTAATTCTATCCCACCTATTTTCAATTCTATGTTTGTTCACTTGGACCCCCCAATATTTAAACCATTCAATCAATTACCCCACTCCCCCTTTTTCCTAGAACCTTCCTAGGTAGTTATCTAAAATTCCCTAAGTTAAATCCCTGTATTAGCCTCCCAGCCCTTTTTTTTTTAGAAGTGGACTTGGGCCACCGGACAGGCCTCAGAAGTTTTGGACCCTTATTCGACCAAATCCTTTATTTAATGGGCCTGCCCGTTGTGCACTAACAAACCCCAGTCCGAGTCAAACAACCAAACCAACAAAACTGAAGAAAAATAGCAATCCAAACATGGAGCTGAGATAGTATATATATATATATATATATATATATATATATATATATATATATATATTTGTGGAACGGAACATATTAAAAGAAAAATGCAAATTAAAAACTAAATTACTGATTAATTAATAAAAACGCTAAAAACTCTAATTGAACTTATAGAACTACATAAAAAGGAGAAGAGGTTCGAGCTTATGACATGACCAATAATTGAACTTACAGAAAAGGAGAAAAGGGAATACCAATTGAATCCAATTAAGCCTTAGAATCTTCGAGAACAATGATGACTCAAACTCGAACTCCGGAGAACAAAAATCTTGACCAAACGGTGAGAATTGCAACGCGAATATTAGCCGAACTTTCGTTCATGGCTAATGATTCATGCAGCAATCCTCAACGTGTGCCAAAAAAGAAGCGAGGCAGAGGCTACAAAGCTATTTTCCGAAATCTGACCAAATCCATGAGATAGGGCTTCTTGATATTCAAACGAAACTCCTTTGTTGACAAACTGAGGAATTCGTGCAGGTTTTGCTATGAATTGAGGGTTTAATCCGAAAAGTTTGGGAAAAAAGAGGAAAGTTTGGATTTTTATTTTTGGATCTACAATTCGGAAGGATTGGGTGATCTTTTGGAGAAATCAATGCGGGAGAAGGACGAGGAGATGACGAAGGATGTAGGATTAAGATTTGGAGGCGTTTGGAGGTGCTCCGCCGCCGTGAGGCGATTTCCGGGCGGCGGAGCTACGGCGGAGTGGGCGGTGATTTGAGAGAGACGAAGGGATTAGGTCTAAAATTGATGGGGCTAAATGATTTAATGAAGACAGGGGTGTGTTTGGTCGTTTAATGGGGAATGGTAAATGAAACGACCTAGTTTTGGGGAGCAACTACGTCGTTTTGGTGATGTGGGGTCCGACCGGGTTTTACACGGATTAGGCTTGGGTCAAGGGGTCAGCTTGGGGAGAAGCTTTTGGGCCGAATTTAGGTGTAAAAAATGGCCCAATTTCAGAAATGAACCTCTTCTTTAATTCTTTCTTTTATTTTCTAATTTTTCTTTTCTTTCCCTCTCTTCTTTTTTTTAAAAGAAAAATTAAAAATCCTAATAATTAAAATCCTAAATTATCCAAAATTTGAAATTAAACTAATTAACTAATTATAAAAATTAGATACATCACTTAATTCTAAATTAAAAGAGAAAAAAAATCAATAAACTAAAAATTAAGGGACAAAATGTAAAATGAGCTATATTTTTATTTTTTTTGTGATTTTCAAGTTTCTATAAAATAAATAATTACTGATTAATTCTAAAAAATATAAAAACTAATCCTAAATGCAATGCATGATATTTTGGTATTTTTTCATGATTTAAATAAAAATTAAACATGCACAGAAATGCAAATAATTAAGAAAATTCTAGAAAAATTCTTAAAAATGACAAATAATTAACAGAAAAATCTATTTCCTTAGGATTCTATAGGAGTAATTCATATAGGGCAAAAATTAGGTGCTCACGGTTAACGAAAAAAGAAAGTGCTTTATGCCTAGAGCTGAAAGGAAGAATGAGGCTAGCACCTTAGATCTATCCTTGTTGGAGGTGATTGATGAGGACATGTTGATGAACCTCCCTGCAATTTATGGCTAGGGTAACCACCATATCTCAAGGAAGGCATGCACTGCATCATGGGTTTTGGCTTACTCCAGTATTTGCACATTTTGGCATCCCAATTAGTGAAGAGAAGAAAGGGCACAAGAAGGACATGTTTGATCACACTACACTGATGGAGTGTGATCTTCTGGACAAGAAACTTGGTACAAAGAGCAACAGTCTGATCACACAGTTAATCACTGAGTTGAAGGAGGCAAAAGAGGAAATAAGTAGGCTGAACAGGAAGAATGCCACTTTTTAGCAGGAAACCAAAAAGTGCGTCGACACGATGCTTCATGATAAGAGGCTGCTTCAGCTCGTCTTGATCGACCACTACAACTTATATTCCATGCCCTTTCTCTAGCAAATAAACCTGGTCTTTAATTAAGTCATGTTCTTCATCCTGCCGTTAGTACTTTCTAAGACCAGTTTTTGAATGTTATTCTGTTATCTTTTCTTTATTTTTGTGTGGCAGTTGACGGGTAGTGTAATTGTCTTTTAGTTTGGGCCCATGGGGCTTAATGCGGCACAATACAAACTCAATCAATAAATATAATTTATTTTTTTGCGATAATAAAAGAAGGGTACACCAATACTTGTGTTGAACTTTGGTACCAAGAAAAGCAACAATTTGCAGTCAAGTATATCTTTATAATTTTATTATGCATGATTAAGACTAACTAACGTGGCTCACAAGTGCTAATTAAAAAAAGGCAGCCTTGAAAGACTAGCTACCAAATCTTCATACAACCATATTTTAATGTTTTATATGTTATTAGTTCCTTTCCCATTGAATTAATAGGATTTGAACAGTTGTGATTACTCGAGTCTTTCACATGATAATTCATTTGACAGATATTTAAGTAAAAACCCACTAATAAAATTGTTTGACCCAAAAGATATTGAAACCTTTTTTATTAAATTAATTAAAGAAGATGAAGAGATAAATCTCAGCCAAGTATAATAAACTCTAGACTGAAAGACATAAGGGACGAATAAGATGAATAATGTTTCTTGATGTCATGAAAGCAAATGATTCATCCCCCCTTTACAAAGTCTTTCCCTCCTATTTATAAGGGACAACCCCCTCTTCACCCCTAAAAGATATAGCATAGGGAATATCCGAAAGTATATTCCTACTGCCTCCTGTTGTGCCTACACTACTACAAAAGTCGTGCGTCTTCTAACCGATGTCGATCGTCGCTGTCTTCAACGGCCACAGGACGTTGTGGTCATCCAAATTTGGACCTATACAGTTAGTTCCTTCGCTTGTTGAGGTCGCGACCTGATGCGTCCTCGATAAGCAGACTCCGCCCTCATCTGCGGAGGAATTTGCTTTACGAATCGCAATGGTTCGGCCGACAACGGAAGGTTAGCGTGCTCAACGATATCCTGGATGGTGTGTCTTGTTGGGAAATAACGTCACTTCCACGTGCGTCATCATTATGTGTGTTTTCGAGATAGAGGCTGATGGTTTGTCGCTTCGATTTCGGTGCCATTTTGTAGCCTTCCGCTTCGATTCTGGCGCCACCCAATCCTATAAATAGGTGGAGGGTTTGTTTTTTCAAAAACTCTTGGCCATTTCGTCTCTGGTTATTCCTTCTCATCCCTTCCGTGTTTGCTCTAACGATTTCTTTGCTTTCTCTCTTCCATTCTCCGTTCTTAGCTTTTTCTATTGTATTAACACGTCTTCCGCCATAGATCTGCCTAGAACACATCGATCTCGTGAGGGGATTTCTGACGCCACCCCGTTGTCCATGGCGCTCCCCTCTGGTGGTGAGGACGTGATGGTGGAGGAAGGGGATGGTTTTCCCACTGTCACACCTCCTTTTTTACACGCCACCCCCGGAAGAATAGTGTATAAGGGAGTTTTTTCACTTTAAGTGACATTATTCGAAATGGTATTATTTAATGATCAGAGTCGCCACTTGGGATAGGTTTGTTTCTGGTGTGCCAAGTCACCGGTTTATTTTCAATCCCAAATCGAGGAAAATTTCGACTTTCCATGTGAAGTCCGCGAACCAGAAATTCTGACTAAGGAATTCTGTGAACCCGGGGGAAGGTGTTAGGCACCCCCGGATTCCGTGGTTCTAGCACGGTCGCTTAAACTATTATAATTGGCCTATTACCTGATTTTAATATATGTTCAAACCTATGGTGCAATTTTAAATTATTTATCGCTTTTAATTAATTTTTTAAGGAAGATTGAACGTCGTTTAAAACGTGTCTTTGGATTGCATCACATGAAATGCACCCGTAATCCGAAACACATTTTATTCAACGTTTTAGGATTTGGATTTGGGTCACATGAAATGCACACCCGAGTTTAAGAAGCTAAAATTATTAAATAACGCGCCTAAAGCAACTAACGCGCTGTTAACTTTGCAGGAGGCCATGAAAATTCGCTAAATGGCACGTCCCGAGTTATAAGAATTTTAGGAAATAATTAAAGAGGGCCACGCAATTTGTGATTTTATTTGGCGCGGCGCACCTCGATTCCATTTTTAAAAGGACATTCGAACTAAAATTCGGAGAACTATTATTATCTATTATGGGTCAACTCCTATTCTAATTAAAGGACTTAAATAATTAACAAAGCTATAACTAAAATTTCAATTAATTAATTAAAAGGCCTACATGGGAAAGGCTCAATTATTTTAATCAAAGGGGAGGTTAGGCCCAAGACAAAGAAACCAGCAGCCCGATAAGAAAACAAAATATTTGAAAGAAAAGGCAAGTTTGGGCCCCAACAAGCCCAGACTCGAACAAGGATAATTTCAATTTGAAAATATCCTTAGCTCGAGTCCGCCACTTAACTTGGAAGGCCAAATGCTCACACTTCAATTTTTAAAAGAAGAATCCATTAAACCCAAAAAAAGGACAGCAACCCAGGACTTTCAAGGCTTTGGGCTTAAATCAAGCCCAGTCTTGGATGAAGAGAAAGCATAGAAGACCTGGCCCAGGGGTCAAATCCCTGGAGGCCCAAACACCTTACCCCAATTCCTGACTGGCTAATTGGTTTAGGCCCAGTAAGCCTGAACCAAAACAATACGAGCTAAAAGGCCCCTGGATTCCACATCGAACCCATATAGCAACATAAATCAACTTTTTCAGCATCATTATCTTGGCAAATAGCAAATCATCGAAATTGACTTATCAGATCTGCTCAATCAGCAAATTAACAGTAGCAATCAACCAAGTTATTCTTCTTACAATTAGATCCTATAAATTCTCTCAACATTGATAGGTATTAAACCAATAATCTCAATTCCAATTTCTTCACTTGAATTCTCAGAAACCATACTAAAACTTCCAACCTAATCATTAGTTAACTAAAAAAAATATTTAAGATCGAGTGTGAATTACAGAGACATGCATGCACCTAATTCCTGAACCAACCTCAAGATCTTGGAAATTCCAATCCATTTAAACTATTCAAAAGCCAGTTTCTAACCAAGTATAATGATACACATCCAAATCACAAACAGGGACTATATTTTATCACAACAAACTCTGATTTCGAGCTACAGGACCAGCTGACCCACTCAAGCATACTACTACATGTTTAACATTCCGTGCACACAGGAGCTTCCATTTACCATTACATAACCAAAAATCCAAACGTTCTTTCTAAATAGCTAAAGCAGATTCAAGTCATTGAGTATGGATGAACAACTTAACACATTCAACAGAAGAATAATGAATTATTTCGCAACAGGAAAAATAAAGGTGTAAACAGCAGAAGCTAATAGAATTTTAACATTTAAACAAGGTTTCTATTCAAATCCCAGCTCGAATTTCCAACTCTGTGTACAAATTCAGTCTGGTTCTTGTAGCACCTCATTTGTTAGCAAATGGTATGAAGAAATACCTGAAAGTGTGAGGAAAGTACAGCAAAATAGTCAAGGACCAGCAGCAGTAACACAACAAAGTATTGACCCAGGAATAAACAAGGAGTGGCTAGCTTTAAGGCAATTCCGAACCAGCAAAAATGTTAAATGAAGTCCAGCAATTAAAAATCAACCCAAAAATGACCTAAGCACTTGAACACCAAGCAGATTCAATTCTTCAGTTGCTCATGAAGTATTTCAGAAGAACATCTTAGGAATTTCAGGGATTTTTGCTAATAGAACAATGAATTTTTGGAGTTTTTAGCTGCCTATATTTCTCTACTTTTAGCTCTTCAAAATCTGTAGGCTCCAATCTCTCTAATCTCTTTGGCTCTCCAATCTGATTTCTAATATCTATAGGATCTGATTTTTTTTTTAACTCCTAAATTCTGCAAGCTCTCTCATTCTTTTTGCTCTCAAAATCTGACTTGCCAGGCAAGAATACAATGCCTTTATAGGCAAGCAATTAGGGCAGCCCTG